TATGTGACTGAATAGAGGAATAGCACCAGCTTGCCCTTTGGGGGACTGGAGCAATGTGCTGAGACGTTAGACATAGTTAGAATGTTTCAGTAGCCAAGTTTTTGGAGTTTGTGGTGAAATCATCCCTCGTAAATGCACATTGTGTTTGTGAAATGGTTTCATTGAGGAGTTGTGCAACCTGACAGTAAAATCCTCCCTTCCAGAGCTTTGTGTGTTTAATTAACTCCTGTACCTGGTATTATCTCATTAGCCTTGTGTTCTGGCATGCCCCTTTTGATTCAGGGACAGACTTTCATACAAAGGAAGGCATCTGTTCATGGTGATAGCCAATAGTCCAAACTAGTTTCTTGTTTAATCAGACCTGTAGCCTCTGTTTTGTTGTATGCAGTAGCACTGTTGCTGTCTGTCCATCAATTAGGGCTGTTGTGGCCTGGAGTTAACTCATATTTATGACCTGGTTCATGTGTGCTAGTGTATGATGCTTGGGATGTCCTTGAGAGGTAGGTTAGCAATCAGGATGAAGCTGTCCTGTAGAGTGCCAGGATTTTCAGCCTGTTTTGGAGTTCAGAGATCCATTATGTGTGGTCTCTCTTCTCTTCATGATGTTTTATCTTCTAGCTAGACTTCTCAAGCTTTTGGTTCGGAACTGCAGTGCTAATTGTAACTAGCTAAAAGTGTTGTTTACACAGGGGTCATTATTACTGATGACATTAATATGAGCATTTTCAGGTGTTTGTCTACACTGTATCAAGACCCTGACTGGTCACAGAAAGACCTTCAAGACGCAATCAGAAGAGCTCAGGGTATGGTGTCCGGCAGCAAAGCAGGGGCATTTTCCCCTGAACGACTGAAATACTATTTCCAGGAGCTGAATGCAATGGAGATGAGTGGACGGAATGTTTCCTTTACGGATTTGTGGGGCCTTATTGTGGAATATTTCCTACAACAGAAGGTAAAAGAGTTCATGTTTGGATGTGCACTGCTGTTTGTCTTCCAGGTGGGAGCTCTGCCCACCCACATGTTGTGTGTCAAGAAATCAATTACTGAACAGCTTACAGGGGTGGATATGGAGGTGTGGAATAAACACAGGGAATTCTCATCTCCTTCTGCACCGGGTTTCCCAACACCCTTCTTTACTACAGAATTTTGAAGTCATATAGATCAGTGCTGTAGAAAAGTGGAGTGTTTATTTGGAATGGCTGTTGTTAAATAGATTTTTGTTTGGGCAGGTTAAGCCTGAGAGAAATATATTGGTTTTGTAAAATGGCGTTACTGTACAGTATTTTTTATGCTAATTGACATCAGAAATCAGAGGGGTAACTAGTTTCTTAATAACATCAGACATCGTAAACGTGCAACTGCTGAAATATTCTGGCAAAACCTAACTATATGCATGGACAGAGGCAGGAAAAGGGGTTTGAATTCATAGTAGTGTTAGTTAAAAATGCTAAGCAACAGCTTCAAAACATCAAAGTATTTGATATCAAATTATCAAACTGACTAAAGTGTGTTTTTCCTTCCTTGCTTGTAACCAGGAAGATCCGTCAAAGCTGTCTGATCAGCAAGAAGCAGTGAAATGGGCCCAGAACCCCTATCCTATCTATGCAGCTGTCAATGTGAGACCCAACATTAGCAGTGGTGACTTTGCAGGTATGAACACGCCAGATTTATTTCCGTTGGCTGAAATCTATAAATTCCTTTTACGTATCCAATTGTTCCTTGGGTAGTGAGTAGCTGAAAACAGGAAACTTGGCTCAAGCAGCAGCTAGTAGTGCAAGAGGCATTAGGATACTGATTGGCAGAATGTTATCGTCCTGATTGCAAATGGCTATGATGGAGAAATGAGATTCAACTCTGCTGGCCACTCTACACGTTTTGCTAGAAAGTGCCTGAAATTAATATTCTGGCAAAACCTAACTATATGCATGGACAGAGGCAGGAAAAGGGGTTTGAATTCATAGTAGTGTTAGTTAAAAATGCTAAGCAACAGCTTCAAAACATCAAAGTATTTGATATCAAATTATCAAACTGACTAAAGTGTGGTTTTCCTTCCTTGCTTATAACCAGGAAGATCCGTCAAAGCTGTCTGATCAGCAAGAAGCAGTGAAATGGGCCCAGAACCCCTATCCTATCTATGCAGCTGTCAATGTGAGACCCAACATTAGCAGTGGTGACTTTGCAGGTATGAACATGCCAAATTTATTTCTGTTGGCTGAAATCTATAAATTCCTTTTACATATCCAGTTGTTCCTTGGGTACTGAGTAGCTGAAAACAGGAAACTTGGCTCAAGCAGCAGTTAGTAGTGCAAGAGGCATTAGGATACTGATGGGCAGAATGTTATCTACCTGATTGCAAATGGCTATGATGCAGAAACGAGATTCAACTCTGCTGGCCACTCTACACGTTTTGCTAGAAAGTGCCTGAAATTTTCAGGAGCGGAGAGGAAAGGTTCTTATAATACACAAGTCTGCGTCTGAGTTGGAGAATTGAAATCCTTGGTAATTAAGTAACCTACTTTCTTTTATAGTCTCAGATAATCAGCTTGTGTAGGATTCATGTAAAAGGATGGATTGGCAACATCATCAAAACTGATATTTAGCAGCTCCTTAGGGGACACTTTGATAAGCAGGCAATAAAGTCTGAGATGGTGGATCAGTTGAGATTTGAAGCAGTACTGTGATGGTTAACCACCAGAGTGGTTTAAAGTGAAAGCAAAATAGGCAGGTTATTTCTGCAATGACAAAGTCATGATGGAGAGAGATGGGATTTTTTTTCCCCAAAAGCCAAGAAGAAAGGATGATGTTTTGAATTGAAAGGAGATTGTATTGAGTCAATGAAAGCCTGTACAAGAGTTTTTATTAATCACGTGTAAGATAGGGGCTGACTGAGAACAGTGACAGGGAAATCCATACTGATGGTGAAGAAATGGAGGGAAACTCCCTTTTGTCTCCCTTGTGTAAGCAGAACTCAAACGAGTATTTTCATCTATGTTTACTCTGAGATGAATAAAATGTTTACTTGTTCTTAGAATGGTGCGAATTTACTCCCTATGAAGTTGGGTTTCGCAAATACGGAGCTTTTATCCGAACAGAGGACTTTGACAGTGAGTTCTTCATGGGACGCCTCGTCCAGAAACGTCCCGAGCCTAGGATTTGTTTTCTACAAGGTATGATGTTCAAGTAGTGAATAAAAGGGGGGCACAGAAAGCAGCCACGTTGCTTTTGGGACTCATTAACTTAAACATATGTCTTTTTCCTAAAGAATTTGAAGAAGGGGAAAATGTCAGCTCTTTCTCCAAAGGTTTAGATATCATTTCATAGTATTACAGTATTACTATCAGATGTTATTACATAGTATACAGTATTACTATCAGATGTTCTTGAGTCTGCAAGAGGACTATTATGGGCTGCCTGTCCATAATGAAAAGACTTTGAAATACGAAACTATTCTATATTTCTCCTGCAGGAATGTGGGGCAGTGCCTTTGCTGCAAGCTTGGATGATATCTGTCTGAAGGTTGTTGGTCTAGGATTGAGCTTTCTAGACTCTTTCAAAGATGTTATCAAAGTTGTAGGTAAGAATATACTTAAAAATAGTTGGATTTTTTTTAAGGATTCCTGGTTTTGGAATGATTATACAAATAATATGACTCAAAAATGTGCTGTGTGTAGTTTTCAAGATTAGCATAAAGGGTGGATTTGGACAGATCCCAATACTGTATATTATTCCCTTCTGTCACACATATAGCATATAGTGAAGAGAGCAACTATAATTTTCAGTACACTTTCTGTTCTCTTTTTAAAATTTGACCTTGACTATAAATTTGGGTTAGTTCTGGGAACTATCTTAAACACATATAGCAGTGCAGGCGTCTTAATCATGAGAAGAGGAAGAATAGAAGCTGGATTGCTAAGCAGGAAGTAGAAAATAGGTTTTCACTTCCCTCCTTGGACTGATTTGGATAACTTCGGATACGATGGTTGTATGTTTATGCATTGTTCTCTCTTTGCATGATGTCTCCCTAGCAGTGAAAAGGAAGTGTATCAAAGGCTGAGAGTTACTCAGATGCATAGTTACAGCCTCATAGTAAGTGAGGGGAGATTTTTTTTTTTCTCTGCTTTTACAGCCCTAGTTTTTTTTTTGCTTAACACTTTTGTTGTTGTAACTATAAATGATATTGTGTATGGATGACTGTTGCTGTCTTAAGAGACAGAAGTGGTTGTCATTTGGTAACAAGGGTTTCTTGGTGTGTATTTGAAATTAATATGGACAAGTATTTATGAGTAATGCTTTAAATAGGGGAGGTAATCCAACTGTAGAATGTACAGCTCACTTAAATTTCTTTACAATACTTTTGTACTAGAGGACAAATTCAGACTTAGGACAACTGATTAAACATCGTAGGAAAAAAAAGTTTGAGGTGTTGGAGCTATGCAAATGTTTGCTGTGTGTTCTGCATCTCTCTGTGGCTTCTGCAGATGACTGCCGAAGATCCCATTTGCGAGATCCAACTCGACTGAAGACTCGCTTGGTTATACCTGGAGGCCCCTTGTTACAAATTTTCCAGGATTTCTTCAAGTCCCGTGTCACATGTGGAGAAACCTTCAACTTCATGCAGGGGTTGTATCTTCATAAAGATTACGTTAATGTCAAGAAATTTGTGGCTTGGGGAGGTAAATGAGTCTGTCTGTATCTGGGTTGTAACAAAGTGTGTTAGTATTCTGTAAGTCAGTTACAGACATAAGTAAGCTTGACTTTGTTCCACTAAAGTTGGGAATTTACCCCTTCTTGCACTGTAGCAAAAAATTTGGTCCATAATGTATGCTCTGTCATATAAGGCAAACTGATTATCTGACTTTACAGGCCAGTCTCAGATCAATGAGTATGTTGGAATGTCTTTTTTCTTCTGATAGCCCTAGCATAAGCTTTGTTTGTTGCTTTTACCAAGAGGTGTGTAATGAATCATTATACTTACTTGTGTTACTTGGAGTGTCTTCCAGGCACTCACCTGGATGCGTTTCCCAACCAGCTGACCCCCATGGAAGAGAGCTTGTACTTAGTGGATGGTGGCTTTTCTATCAACTCTCCCTTTCCTTTGGTACTTCAGCCAGAGAGAGATGTGGATGTTATCTTGTCATTCAATTTTTCCTGGGAAGCTCCGTTTGAGGTGAGAGGTACAGCTGAGCATTATTTCAACAAGACAGAAGCACAGAGTCATATTCACAATGGCAGCAGATGTTGAATAGAAACACTAATGAAAGTGCATTACAATAAATCCTTACCTCTTTCAAATGTTACTGTGCTGTGCTTTTACTGTGAATGCCATGAGGAGATGGAAAGTGATATAGGTAATAAGATTCAAAATTTTTCAGAAGCTTAAATATATCATCCCTAAAATAAGAGTGTTTGCTTAGTTCGTAAGATCCTTGTTACACAGCTGTACACATCTAAGGGAGAAGTGGCTATTGGTGATTTTCTTCATGCAAACAAGTTATTTTTCTGTGTATATAAGTGTTTAAGTGCAGAAAAGTCAAAGTGTATATATTTAGAGTAACAAAACATAAAAAGAGTTTCAGCTGCAAATTGCAGCTGCAAAAAAAAAATTGTTGATGTTTGGTAGCAGTTCTTAGTTCTGTTCTTCATTGTTCTTCTGTATCTTCCAATTTAGCAGTTGCATTTCTGTCACTTTTCTGTGAAAGTCTCTCTCTGTTAGATTATAGGTAGGTAATCTTAGAGGAGTTGCTGGTATTCTATCAAAAGTCTTTTTGTTCTTTGACAACAGGTTTTAGAGCTGACTCAGAAATACTGTGAGGAGCGGGAAATTCCTTTTCCAAAAATCAAATTGAGTGAGGAAGATGAAAGGAAGCCAAAGGAGTGTTACATGTTTGTGGATGATAATAATCCAAAGGCTCCAATTGTGCTCCATTTTCCGTTGGTGAATGATACCTTCCAGAAATACAAAGCTCCAGGTAAGGGAATGATATTTTAAAGAGATATTTTAAGATTAAGAACTTTTGGGTGCCGTGATGTTGAAATTCAGTGGGCTCAGTGTCCCTCCTTTCATTCTTCTTAGTAGTATCCTATAGTTATTAAATTGTTACTTTCATTTAAGACAGGATCAGCTTCCACTGTGGTCTGTGCCTTTGTAGCATAAGGTCAAGTGACGAGCTTGGGTCATTTAATGTGATTAATATAGACTGTAAGGCTCACCTCAGACCATCAAGCAAGAGCACTGGGATGAAACACACAGCTATACCTTTAAGAAGATACAGACAAAATTCAGTGTCCTATTTCTCCAATGCTGGGCGTAAACAGTATCCTGAAGAAAACCTTTGGAATCCATAGAATCATAGAATGGTTAGAGTTGGAATGGACCTTAAAGATGATCTAAGAAAAGAATATGCAGTACTGACACAGGCAAGGGAGGTGTAAGGTACCCTGTTAATGCTATCTGTATTAATACTATAATGATTGCCAGGCCCTGGCTGCATTTCCTCATCAGTGATGAAGAGTTTCAAAGTGTTGGGCTTGAATATGGCTGAAGACTACTATTTCAAAAATAGTAACGAGAAAAAGTGTTTTTAGCAGATCTCTTTAACGTTCATCTTGGTTTTTAAATGTAAGTGGCAGGGTGCTCAAAACACAAGTTGCCGTATTTTAAAGAGTATATACTAACCTCCTAGGTAAGTTCAGCTCAGGGTGTTAAGGTCTTTTATTTCAGTGTAGAACAGCACTTCTAGGAAGAACTGAGCTTTGTATTTCCTATTTTGAGCGTGATAATCATGGATGCACTAAGCATTTTATCACAAAAAAATATATTTTAGTCCTGAATTTTGGGGTCTGGTGGAAATAGTTGAGCGTGATAATCATGGATGCACTAAGCAATTTATCACAACAAAAATATAATTTAGTCCTGTATTTTGGGGTCTGGTGGAAATATAAAGGGTAATAATATTTTTACCTTCAGCTTCCAAGTATTTTGGATTTCCTGAAGGAAATCTCTGAAGAGGTGCTTTGGGGAAAAAATTAAGGTTCAACAGATTGGATTTCCTGAAGGAAATCTCTGAAGAGGAGCTTTGGGGAAAGAGTTCAGGTTCAACAGAGTGATTTCTGATAACCTCCTTGCAGAATCCAACTAAAATAAGTATCACAGTTGGGTTTTTTGTGTGTGGATGTTGGTTTATTTATTTTTTCTTGCTGCAGGAGTTGAACGTGAGTCAGAAGAAGAGAAATCCTTTGGTGACTTTGTCATTGAGGCAAAAGATTCTCCCTACCGTACGCTGAATTTCACCTTTGAGCCATATGATTTCAGCAGGTTGGTGGAAGTGAATCGCTACAATGTTCTGAACAGCAAGGACACTCTCTTCAAAACACTGAACTTGGCTCTGCAAAGAAGAAAGTTGAAGAAAGTAATTGATACGTCCAATACATGAGCAGCTTCTGTAGCTAAGGATACAGACAGGCTGCTGTGTATGAAAACCACATTGTTCAAGACAGAATAATGAAAACTAATAGCTGAAAACTGTCTTCTTGGGAAGGGAGTAGCACACGTGACACTGAAAAGTCATTCCAGATGACAGATGCTCTTACGAAAGCCCAAGGGATGTACAGTACAACATGGATGTTGCTTTGTCACGTGGGGAGGAGTAGGGAATTATCCAGCCCAGTATCTCATGTTACAGTGGCTGATACCAGATGGGAGATCTGGTATCTAGGGAGATCTATTCAAACAGTTCAAGCATGTGGAGGTAATCTTCCAAACTCTACTAATTTGTTGATGAAGAACCTCTTTTTGTCAGAAGTGCAGGAGTGTTTCTTCTATACCTTTGTCTTTCTTGCTTTTTGAACCTCCCTCCGTAAGCTTCTACAATTTACATCGTGTGGCAAGGGACTCCACAGATTGTAACTATGCACTGAAAGACGAAATGTGTCCTTTTGCTTTCAACTTGCTACTGGCTGATGCCAATGTACTTCCAAGACTGAACAGTCATTATCTGTTTTCCATTTTTGCCATTCATAGTCTCAGAGATCTCTCTGTTATTTCCTTCCTACCCTTCTTAAGACCTATAATGGCCTTTAGTCTCCCGAAAGGTCAATATAGAGTACCTTAGTTTGGTAACCATTTGTTTTTGAGGAAATAGTAGTTCCCTTTTAAAATATTTAATAATTAAAGACACGTCATGGGATTGTGTTACTTCTTCCTACAGTCCGATCATCACAAGCTGATGAAACTTTAAAAATGCTTCAAGTCTCATCTTTCTCTTTCTATGTAAGAGAAAGGAAGGCTCCTTTAAAGAGAATACTTAGATATTTTTAGAGATTTTTACGCTTGGGCCTGCAATTCAGCCAGATCTTTATTCAAGGAAGTTCTTTGTGTGTCTATATATTTTTACAAACACTGATATTCAAGGTAGGCACACGTTAGAAATGTGAATGAATAAAACACAATGTTAGGTGCTGCTATGCTGTGGGATGGAATTCACCTCAATTTGCAGAATGCTCAGAGAAAAATACTGTATTATACAACTGAAAATATCTAATGCGAAAAGGCTTTTACATTGAGCTGAATGTACTGATTCTATATTTGAAAACTGGCGACGGGAAATTTGTCTTATCTGAAATGATGTAAAGGATTATAAATGAGTATGATTTGGTATATTTTTTAAACGTATTTCTCTTCTAATAAATACTAGTTTTGCTAATGTGCTTTTCACAATTTTTCTTATGAAGACTTGTCTTGATATATTTTTCCTTTTTTTAATAAAAGGTAAGCAAAAAAGTCAATGTAATACTATATAGCCTAGTTTCTTTTATTACATCAGAATACCTGGCAGTGGGAAAGTGACTTACCAAGTCCATCTCGGACTGGTGCCACGCAGCGGTAGAAAGTAATTTCTTCATTGTGAGACTTCTCTTTGAGGAAGCATGGCTCAAACCAGATTTTTTTTTTAGATGTGTTTCAGACAGTGGGTGATTAATCTTCCTTGATATCTGGAAGGATGTATCCTTTATGTCCTTAACACTTGTTTCCTTAAGTTGAAATAAGAGAAATAAAAATTTAATATTATAATTTTTCTTTGTAGTTGGTGGTGTACAGCTACCTGCTTTTTAGGATTTGGACATCTGTCATATTTGCTGAGTGATTTTTGTATATTTTTCCACACAAGATCTTCAAGTATTCTTGCTTTAGCTGCCTTTCAGCCTGCCACTGTGTCATTCAATGTTTTTTTGTAGTAGGGTGGAAGTTCCCTTTGTTCCTCTTGAATTGTTCCTTTTTTTCTGATGTGAATCTGAATTGAACTGTGTGGTTTGATTTACTTGTACTTTGATCGTTTTGATGTCCTTTCCTGATCGGAGATGCTTGGACACTGTGAAGATACAGGTATTTAGATACCAGCATATCAATGGAAAGGTGGAATGTTTTTCCTCCAAAAACCGTATCTACTCAAATTTGTTAGGCATTACAATGGAGTCTTTTAAAGCACAGATTCTCTGTAAGTTCTTCCACAATGGCAGTATTTCTTTGTAGGAGCGGGATATGGGGCCCCAAAAATTAATTTTAATTTCCTAAATTAGCAACTTCATTTGAAACTCCATGTTACAGCAGGGTAATTGTCCACAAACAAGTCTGCTCACTTACTATGTGGCATATCTTCTTCAGTCTTGTTAAAATGCTTCTTGCCTTGTAGGAGGAAAGTGTCTTTTGTCCTGGCATTTAAATTCAAGCCTAGTTATTAAAGAGAAATTTCTGTATTGCACAATTAAACGTGTTTATATATGTACACAGGGACACATACTGGAAATTTGCTGGATAGTGGAGGAAAAATCCCACAACAAGTATTTTATTGACCCTCTTCTTGGTGAAGGAAAGTTGGGCCATTTAAGCAACCTTATCTCAGAGTAATTCTGTGAAATAATTAAAAATATTTCATATTCTACTCTAGAGAGAGTCTGCAGAGGCTTGGAACTGTTGTTACCAACTGTTATCCTAAGATACCTGGGCTCTCATTTCAGTTTCTCTTATCCCTGTTCTTCTCTGTCTCTTGTATTGTCCAAAAACTCACAAAATTTGAGATGAGTATTTTGTGTATAGCACTTGAGGGCCATATATGGCTCATGTTGGTGCTGCAGCAGTGCTAATACAGAATAGTATTTAAACTGTAATTGATTTATTTTAATTCATATGGTAATACTGTTGTATAAATGGGCACGGGATCCTGAGTGTTCCATCTTTCTATGATCAGCTATTCACTTAGCTGCCTTTTCTGCCTTTTCTTTCCTCTCTTTCAAAAGTGTTCCTCAAAATCTCTGTCTAAACCACACTTGTGGAAAAATCCTAGTCGTACAAATTTGATTGAGTCTAGGTTATTGCATCTAGCTCGTAGTGTACCTTGGGGCCAGGTGCAAGGTGGTTGCCCTTGCCTTGAGCTGTTGCTGGCTCTGACTGATGCTTTTGGTTGTTGGCTTTGGGCTCCCAGAAGCTACTGGGGTAGCTCCATGAGATCCAGGGACTCCTAACGGAAAACCAAACAAATTCAGTGCTTTATGTTGTTGGCTTTGGGCTCCCAGAAGCTACTGGGAGCTCCATGAGATCCAGGGACTCCTAACAGAAAACCAAACAAATTCAGTGCTTTAAAACCTGGCTGGATTACTCCATTTGCTGTTATTCATGCTGTGGCCTCGAGGTCCATCTGGGCAAGGCTCTGGTGCAGACAAGGTCTGAGCCACACCTGAGTTGTGTTTGCAGACAAAAGGTATCTGGGAGTGGGACGGAGTCAGTTGTGGGAGCAGCAAGTAGAGATAAGAGCACTATCATACAGGTGTCAAAGGTGTGCCTGCTGCACTCTAGGAATCAACTGAAGATGTCAAAGAAAGTGGAGAAACTGAGTTATGAGTAACAGCAGCTTTTTATTTTTTACAGCACTTTATTTGCCCTGTGGCAGGATAACTTGGGTTATTCCAGTTCTTCATAAATGGTTCAGAATGAATGATCTGTATAAGGTGATAAGCATTTAAATGAACTTGGATTTACCCACCAAAGTAGCCTAATTTATGTGCAAGAGGCAACAGCTCTTCAGGATTGCTTTTTTTTTTATTCTTTTCCAGGTTTTTGTAACCTTCCATAAAGTAATTAATTTCTGAAGTATGGAGAAAAAGGAAAGAAAGTTTATATATATCTCTCTCCATGATAAACCTAGCAAAATATTGCAGGAAGTTAGTACTTGAAGTTTGGAGTACTAAGCTACTGCTTATTCTGTAGGAAACCACGTGATGATTTGCAGAAAAATAAGGCTTGGCAGCCATTCCTTGGGTAATGAGTTTCCAAAGGGTGTGGGAAGAACAAAAGAATGATCCAGTTGGAATCATGAGTTAGTATATAGAGTTCATGGAATTTCTTCATACAGTCATTAAACATGTAAAAAACGGCTGGATTGCACAAAGCTGTTTTAGAAAAATAGTGATGAACAGGTTGAGAGCTTGTGAGTGATACTTAGAGGCTGAGCCAACAGAAGAAACCTCATGGTTGGTGTTTACTGCAGGCCCACCTGACCAAGGGGGAGATGAGCAAAATTACACCGGAGTTGTGTCCTAAAAAGACTTAAAAATGTTGAAAACCCACTTCAACTAAGAAAATAAAAGTGGCAAACCTGTCAAGGTGAAGAACTGTGGTTTTGATTATGTTAGTAAGAATTAGAAGTTGTGCCAGTGAATTAAGTTGACTCTCACTTAAATTGCAATCACCTCCCTTTGTTGTGTGCAGAATCACTTTAAAAACAGTTTTAAAAATACCTTTTGGTTTTGATTTGAACTAAGCAAATTAGCCTGGTACTTCAGACTCTTAACAACCTGATCTTCCAACTATGACCATCCTCAAAAAAGAGCATACTGCCTGCACCTGCAAAACCACCTATTTATATAAACAGGTATTACAGATAAGGTAACCTTCCTTTTGTGGGGTTGCTAGATCACCATGCATAAGGATCTGTTTGCATTCACAAAAAATATGGGTTTCTTTTCTTCCATAGATGGAGTTATGTTCTAAGTAGCTAAGAAGCTTCTTTAGCTGAAGCTTCTTTACAGCTATAGAGTTTAGCAACTAAGATTTTGTAATTCATTGCGCTTGTTGTTGGTGCTGCTGTAAAAGTAAACAATGAATTCTTATGTGTTTTAAATAAAATACTTTGGAAGATTTTTGTAATAAGAATTCTGTTGTGGATTTTTTGAAGCTTGAAGTAGTGAAGAAACAATATAAAGTTGCTAATGGGATTCTATACGCTATTAAGAAAATGGTGGCTTCATATGAAAATAATTGCTTGTTCATCTCCCTTTCCAGTGTCAAAGGCAAAATGCTTTGTGGCAGCAGATCTTCTGACTGCATCTCCGGTCACTTTCCAAACACAGGTCTGCAGGATAACTGCAGTGATCCAAAGTGGAATGAAAGTTAAAATGCCGGTACCACAATGCTGTGAAGGTAAAATTTATGCTTCTTTGTTAGGTTGTTCAAGGCAGCACTGGATAAATCAGCTGAGACCAATCAAGGGAGCAGATTCTTGTGACAAGGGATAGGACAGAGGGCAGACCACTGCTGTGGCCTGACATTGTGCGTGTTTAAGCCAGCTCTCTGGAGCAGATGTGTTAGTTAAGGCCTGTCAGTCTGACCTTGGTGCTGGGGAAGGTTATGGAGCGGATCATCTCAAGTACCATCTCATGGCACATACAGGACAACCAGGCGAGATGTCCCAGTCTGCATGGGTTTATGAAAGACAGGTCCTGCTTGAATAACCTGACCTCCTTCTATGACAAGGTGACCTGCTTAGTGGACAAGGGAAAGGCTGTGGATGTTGTCTACCTAAACTAAAGTAAAGCCTCTGATGGTGTTTCCCACAGCATTCTCCTGGAGAAACTGGCTGCTTATGGCTTAGATGGGCATACACTTCACTGGGTGGATGGATGGCCGGGGCCAAAGAGTTGTGGTGAACAGAGTGGCCAAGGAGGCCAACAACATCTGGATACATCCAGGATGTGTCTAATAATTCTTCCTCCAATTCTGACTCTCCTGGTGAAACAGTAGCAGAGCTCAGTAAAGTGGCACAGAAGCATGAGATTGTTTTCATGGCTTAGAGGAACATTCTTGATTGCATGAAGGAATACTGATAACTCTTTTCTCCATAAGACTATAGCTTCTGACTCTGGATTTCCCAAATAGCAAACTGGGAGGAGAGGGAAGATTGCAGCAGTGGTATCAAACCTCACTTCTATTGGACCTTCATTTTCACAGCACAGATCACCCTCCCACTAAGGCCATCATGACTGGTGTTTTTGTGATGCTGAGCGAAACTTTGTCCTGAAAGTGACTGAATTTTACAGTCTGTGTTTCAGCACCGACAGACTTAGCTGCATGCCTTTTTTTACCCATCACATTTTTCAAATGCGTTAAGGGGAGGTAATGCCCTCTTATGTGACTCTGCAATGACTCTCCACCTGCTGCTCAACAAGGCATCACCTCCTGTGTTAATAGTCTTAAAATATTGTAAGAAAAGACCTTGAGCTACAGGAACTGTAACTTCATTTCTCTGTTACAACAGTAGGCTGCTGTATTTAGTGGCCATGCTATAAAATCATATTTATTACTATTCTGTTTCCTGCAAATATCTGAGCAAATCTCTCTGCAATGAACTGTGTGTGACGGAAGGATCTTTCA